ACCAATAACAAACATTTCCAAGGAGGACTTGGTGGCCCAGAATACTCCCCAGAATATGGGAAGCAGAGTAGTACCATGGACAGAGTACAGGCAGCTTGGAAAATCAGTGAATAGTGTGTTGGACTTGGAGTCAGGAAGACCTTTTGTGCCCTAACCTCCTCTAGCATCAATTCTCACACCTGTAAAATGAGGATAAAATTATACCTTACTCACAGGAATGATTGTTGTGAGGATCAAATGAGATAACATTTATAAAGCTATGTAAATGCTAGCTGTTGTTATCGTTTGAAGTGAGGGGACCTAGACTAGAATTACAGATCTGTCACTTGCCCCTTATGTGACGTTTACCTCTCTGTTTACCTCTTATTTATAAAATGACATGTTTGGCTTAGGTGATCTTAGGTGATCTCTGAGGACCCTTCCAGCTCTAAATCTATGCCTTTTGATCCTGGAGGCCTAAGGCCCAGGGCAGGATCCTTCCCAACACCTAGTGCGACTGACTATGGTGGTTAGAGTGTGGCAGCCAGAGAGAGAGGGACAGAGAGAGAGAGAGAGAGAGAGAGAGAGAGAGAGAGAGAGAGAGAGAGAGAGAAAAGCAGAAAGCACTAAGCACCCAGTTTCCAGGGTATTTAAACAGATGACTCTGCTAGGTTATAATTTTAGCATGTTACGGCTGATGTCTTCTCGCTGCTATAAAATAGCTAACTTTTACCGCCGGAAGCAGCTCGTAGCCAAAATGCTGGAAAATTTTAATATAGCAAAGTCATCTGTTTATCAGTTATTGTTTGGAGGAAAAGTATGTGTGTATTTATAGATGTGTGTCTCACACACACACACACACACACACACACACACACACCCCACACACATATCGAGGGAGAGCTTCTTGGCAGGTCTACAAGTCAGACCAGTCACTTTCAAGCTTCATTGGGGTGTTTGGGTGGGGATGGAGGTGGTGGTGATCAAGGTCATTGGGAATTCCCTCTGCCCTAGACATATTGAGATGTCTTGTCTGGAAGCACTGAGATATAGAACCATAGATCATTGGAGCAGAAAGGGGCCCTAGGAATCAGGTAGCTTTATCTATACATATTACAGATGGGGAGAATGAGGACCCACTCAGACAGATTAAGTGATTTATCTGAGACTACTTATCTAGGAAATGGCAAATCTGAGGCCTGAACACAAATCAGGAGCCTCCCTACTCAGAGCCTTTCCTACTATACTCCTAACACAGCAATCTACAAGGATCAATTGATAAACCAATAGGGTTTATAAAACACCTACTAAGTACCTATTACTAGATGAAGATACAAAGACAAAAACGAAACAAATCCTGCCCTTAGAGACTTCCCATTCTATTAAGGGAGATATGTACTCAACTCAGCCTCAAGAACCTAGAACCTTCCATCTAAAGCTGCCTTTCATCTATTCGGAATCTTTCATACACTTATTTATGTGCCTGTCATCTCCTTCATTAAAATGGAAGCTCTTCGAGTGCAGGCACTGGTTTTGCTTTTTAAAAAAATATCCTCATGGATTATCCCAATGCTTGGCATATAGTAAGTGCCACGAATGATGCAGGTTGATTGATGTGCATTTATAGAAAATACATACAAAATAAATACAAGTTAATATCGAGGGAGGGCAGAGTATTAGTAGCTGAGAGAGTTAGTAAATGCCCCATGAAGGATGTGTTGCTTGAGCTGCGCTTAGAAGAAAACTAGGGAATCTAAGAGGCAGAGAGAAGGAGAGAATAAAATCCTAGGCATAAAGAAGAGGTAGCCTGTGCAAAGGGAGGCGGAGTGTTGGGTATGAGAAGCAGCGAGAAGACCAGTCATTGAGTGGTGAAGGGGAGGAATGTGCAATAAATCTGGAATGGGAAAAAGGGGCCAGGTTGTGATGAGCCTTAAATGCCAAACAGAGGAGCTTATATTTTATCTCAGAGGCAATAGGAATCCTCTGGAGTTTACTGAGTAGGAGAGTAGCACGATCAGATCTGAACTTAAGGAAAATCATTCTATGAAGGATGGCTTGAAATGGGGAGAGATAGGACAGGGAGATGGATAAGGAGCCTATTGTGGTGGCGCAGGCAGGAGGTGATGTGTACCTGAACTAGGATGCTGGTTATGTGAATAGAAAAAAATTAAAAAATAGGTATTAGGAGGGCCAAATAGAGAATGAGAAAGGCATATCAAATTTTCCTTTGGGTCTTCAGAAATCTTCCAGGGAAGATGTTCTTCGTTGACTTATAGCTGGGAGGGACCTTAGCAGCCATCAAGTCCAGCCCTGTCATTTTAGCAATGAGGCATCTGAGGTCCAAATAAGTTAACCAATTTGCCCAGAGTCACACAGCTAGTAAGTGTCTGAGGCTAGGTTTACAGCCAGGTCCTCCTGGGCTCAAGTCTATCTATTATATCAAGAGTTCTTAACCTTTTGTATCTCATGGACCCCTTCAGCTGTCTGCTGAAGCTTATGAACCCCTTCTCAGATTCATGTTTTTAAATGCATAAAATAAAATAGATATGATTACAAAAGAAACTAATTATATTGACATCCATTTATCAAAATATTTTTCAAGACCAAGCTCCCAGGTTAAGAATCCAGTGCTCCACCATACTGACTCTTGTTGTCTTCTTCTATGGTGGGGAAAGCCAAGACCCAGGGAAATTAAGTGATCTGCTCAAATGGCACAGAGAGTTGGGGGCAGAGATAGGAGCAGAGTCACCTTGTGCCTCAATGCCAGCCAAAGGATTATGTCTCAGCTGGCCTCCCCCAAGCTTATCCCAAGTGCTTGACATTACAAAAAACTTGTAGTCCACTGACCTGCTCTGCTTCCAATTTCCCCCATGTTTATTGAGTGCTTTCTACTTTCTCATGAACTCTTGTCTTTACTTTACCTCATTTGATCCTCACAACAGGCCCTGTAAGGTAGAGAAGGCCAACAGCTGTTGTCCTCATTTGAGAAGTGAGGGAGTTGCAACCCAGCATGGGGAATGGCTTCGCCAAACTGGTTAAAGGATTCCAGGTTTGGTCTACCCACTCCTAGCCTAGTGACCCTAACATTACTTTCCAGACTGATGGCATGAATTCATGAAAGACCTTCATGGAGGAAGACTCTCTCCTTCCTCCTCACTTCTCCCTATAACTCTGGCCTTCTGGAAGTTCTTTCTTAGGTCTAACCTTAGTCTCACCTGCCTCAAATCCTCCTCAGTAAGAAGGCAATGAGGCAGATAGATGCCTCATGATCCAAGGAAGGTTTATATTGCTCAGGGTGCTTAGTCCTTCCCTGTACATACTCCTGTACCCAACACAATGACAGGAAAAAACAGAGTATGGTAGAAACAGCATTAATTTTATTTAGAGTTAAAAGATCTGGGTGCAAGTCCTGGGTCTGACACCACCTAGCCAAGTGACCTGGGACAAGTAACTTCCCTTTACTAGGCCTCAGTTTCCTCCTCTGTAAAATGAGGGTCTTGGACTAGAACAAGAATTCTTAACTTTCTTTGTGCCATGGACCTCTTGGGAAATCTGATGAAAACAATGCACCACTTCTCAGAATAATTTTTGTAAATGCATAAAATAAAAAAAACAAAGATCACAAAGGAAACAAGTCAATTGCCTAGGATGGATCATAACAGGTGATTAATAGTTGTTTGTTGAATTAGTGAATGAACAAACCCACCATGCCTACCCAGAGTCCCATTGTACAAGGAAGTGTGTAGCTGAGTGAAGGGACTGGTGACAGCTGAGTGCCTTGTGAAACCCAAATTCACGGGACACTGAGGCTGGACCTATGGCCTCAGTCATTGATTTGGCCAGGAGAACTGTCTCTGAGAATAAGTCAGAGTGTGGCACTCTGGTATTAGTGATCTTTCCATGTACCTCTTTGTAGCCATTGCAAGACCTTGCATAAACTAGGGACCTTAAAAGGACATCTCATCTCAGTATCACTGAATCTCATGTCCAGAAGGGGCCTCCAAGAATTGAAAAATAAGCTAACCCATTCCTGGCCAAGAATCTTTTCAACACTATGTCAGATAAGTGGTCATCCATCATCTGCTGGTGATGAGGAACTCACTTCTTGAGGCAGCTCATTTCACCTTGGGAGAGCTCTCATTGTTGGGAGTCAGTCAACTAGCATTTATTAAGCCCTATGCTAAGTGCTGGGGATACAAAAAAAAGGTGAAAGAGAGTCCTTGCCTTCAAGGAGCTCACAGTTTAATGGGAGTGAAAACATGGAAATGATTATGGGCAAATGAGATATAGACAGGATATATATACATATGCATATACATATACACATATACATACACATACACATACACATACACATACACATACATATATATATATATATATACATATTGTGTGTATGTTTGGTCATTTTTCAATCATGTTTGACTCTTCATGACCCCATTTTGGGTTTTCTTGGCAAAGATCCTGGAGTGGTTTGCCATTTCCTTCTCCAGATCATTGTACAGATGAGGAAACTGAGGCAAACAGGTTAAGTGGCTTACCCAGGGTCACACAGCTAGTGAGTGCCTGAGGATGGATTTGATCTCAGGAAGATGAGTCTTCCTGACTCCATGCCTGGCACTCTATCCACTGAGTCACCTAGCTGCCCTCATATGTATATGAATATGTATGTGCATGTGCATATGAATATGCATGTGTATATGTGTGTATACTTTACATATTAAAAAGTGCATATTGTGTATATATGTGTACACACATATACACATATGAATGTATGTATGTGTATATGTGTGTGTGTGTGTGTGTGTGTGTGTGTGTGTATATACTTTCTATTTCCACCCATTGCTCCTGGCTGTGCCCTCTTCCACATGATACCCCATTAGATTTTTCAGGAGAGGCACCATTCCCACCCCAGCCTTCTCTAGATGGAACATATATGCTTTCATCCTGCAACTGCTCCCTACATGGCATGCTTTCCAATCCTTTCCCCATCCTCATCAGCCTCTTCTGAATGTTCACAGGTTCACCTAAAATGTGGTGCCCCGAGCTGATGCCAGACAGGGTCTGATCAGTGCAGACGACACTGTGAGTATCTCTTCTCTGATTCTGGACTTTGCACTTCTATTAATGCAGCCTAAGATTGTGTTAGTATTTTTGCCTTCCACATCACACTGTTGACTCATTGAGCTTGCAGTCCACTAACTCCCCCAGGTCTTTTTCACAGGAACAGCTCTCTAAGCCACATCTCCCCATCCTGTGCTTGAAAACGTTATTTTTTAAACAAAAGTGTTGGGCCTCCACAGCTTTCATCTTACAACTTTCAGACCATCCTTCTAGCCTGTTGGCATCTCTTTGGATCCTAATTTTGTCAGCTAGTGTGTTCACTATCCCTCCCCATTTTGTGTCATCCACAAATTTGATGAGCCTACCATCTATGTCTTCATCCAAGTTATTGAGGAAAATGCCTCAGGGGGATTCTGAGTCCTGCTTCACAATCATTCTGGTCTGCTCTTACAAATTCTGAACTCATCCCCCATTGCAACTGTTCCAAGCATTTTTTTTCTCAATAACCCCACCTCCACTGGACTCCAAACCTCCACACTTAGAGCAGATGATTTAGTCACCTATTAACACTGAGAAAATTGAGGATATCCAGCATGCTCTTTAAATCCCACCTCCCCCTGGTCATGCCTCTGCTCTCATACCACCGACTCTCTCCTCAAGTCTTTACAAGCTGTTGGCTTCCACCCTGACTCCTTCTCTGAAATGGCTTTCCCAGAGGTTGCCAGCTACCTCCTAATCACCAAATCCAGTGGCCTTTTTTTGATCTCCATCCTCCTGACCTCTCAGTGGCATTAGACATTGTCAACAACCTTCCCTGCTGGATACCCTTACCTTATTCAGCTTTAGAGGCACCTCACAGTTCTAGTTTTTGTCTCACCTTTGCTTTTGGAGCTCTGTTAATAGCTCCCCATCCTCTTCCAGACTCTCTATGCTGACTGTTCTCTTTCTCTCTGCTCCTGGCCCTCTATTCTTCTTTCTTTACACTCTCTCTGTCCATTGTTTTCACTCCCATAGCCTCAACTACAGTCTCTATGCATATGACTCTTACATCTTAATCAATCAATATTTATTAATTATCTACTATTATTTAAAATCCAAAAAGATGAGGCTGTTAAAGTGCTACACTCAATATGCCAGCAAATCTGGAAAACTTAACAGTGGCCGCTGGGTTGGAAAAGATCAGTTTACAACCCAATCCTAAAGAAGGGCAATGACAAGGAATGTTTGAATTATTGAACAATTGCATTTGTCTCACATGCCAGCAAGGTTATGCTTAAGATTCTGTAAGCTAGACTTCAGCCATCTGTGAATAGAGAATTACCAGAAGTTCAAGCTGGTTTTCGAAGAGTCAGAGGAACCAAAGACCAAATTGCCAACATTCACTGGATTATGGAGGAAGCAAGGGAGTTCCAGAAAAAACTTCTGCTTCTGCTTCCATTAATTACATTAAAACCTTTGACTGTGTGGATCACAACAAAATGTGGCAAGTCCTCAAAGAGATGTCCCAGATCATCTTATTTGTGCCCTGAGAGACCTGTATGTAGGTCAAGAAGCAACAGTTAAAATTGAATATGGAACAACCGATTAGCTGAATATTAGGAAAGGAGTACAACAAAGCCATACATTGTTGCCTTATTTATTTAACTTACATGTAGAGTACATCATGTGAAATGCCAGGCTGGATGAATCAAAAGCCAGAATTAAGGTTGCACAAAGCAATATCAGCAGTCTCAGCCATGCAAATGGTAACACTCTGATGGTAGAAAGTGAAGGAGAATTAAAAGTCCCTTGATAAGGGTGAAAGACCCTTTGTTGGCTTGAAGCTTAACATTAAAAAAATTAGGTCCTGATAACTGATCCCATCACTTCCTGGCAAATAGAGGAAGAAGAAATGGAAGCAATGTCAGATTCTATATTCTTGGGCTCAAAGATCATTGCAGATGGTGACTGCAGCCATAAGATTAAAAGACACTTGCTCATTGAAAGTAAAGCTATGGCACATCTGGATTCTATACTAAAAAGCAGAGACATCACCTTGCTGACAAAGGTCCATATAGTCAAAGCTGTGGGATTTCCAGTAGTAATCTAAGGAGAGCTGAGCATCACAGAACTGATGCTTTTGAATTGTGGTGAGTCTCTTGGGACAGCAAGGCAATAAAATCAGTCAATACTTCAAGAAATTAATCCAGACTATTCACTGGAAGGATGAATCCTGAAGCTGAAGTGTAAATACGTTGGTCACATATCGAGAAGACAAGACCCATTGGAAAATACCCTGATGTTGGGAAAGATTAAAACACAAAAAGAGAAGGAGGTGGCAGAGAATGAGATGGATAGAAAATATCATGGAAACAACAAACATGAACTTGGACAGACTTCAGGAGATAGTGGAGGATAGAAGGGTCTGGCTTGCTGTGGTCCATGGGGTCACAAAGAGTCAACCCCGACTGAAAAACAACAACAATGACCCACTATAAGTTTGGGGGATGCAAAAAAGGCAAAAGACAATCTCTTCCTTCAGGGAGCTTACAATCGAATAGTGGGGACACCAAGAAAACAAATGGGTGCATAGGAGCTATATACAGGATAAATAGGAAATAATTAAGAGATTGGAAGGCACTAGAATTAAGAGGGGTCAAGAAAGATGTCCTGTAGAAGATGCCATTTTAGCGGGAACTTGAAGAAAGCCAGGGAAGCCAGGAGACAGAGATAAGGAGGGAGAACATTTTGGGCATGGGGGACATCTCTAGCATTAGTCCTAAAATTTCTTCTGAGCATCAGACTTGTTTTCCTGACAACCTTCAGAATGTCTCTACTCAAATCATTCACTGATACTTTGAACTCGACACATCTCAGAACAAGCCCTTTGTCTTCCATTCTAAACTGTTCTTCCTTCTTGCTTCCCTGCTTTTCTTTGCAGTACCACCATTCAAACCATCTCCTATGCTGAATCCTTGACCTTCTCTTTTGCTCTTTCCTATTCCCCACAGTCTATTTCTGTAACATCTCTCCCACCCAGGCCCTCCTTTCTATTCTACAACCACCATGTTAGTCTGGTCCTCACTATCAGTGGCCTGTACCATTGCAACAGTCTCCATAAAATCCCTCCTCCCTGAAGACTCCCTGGTACCTCACCATTCCAATTCCTTCTACCTCACACCAGGACCAATACAACTTCCCTCAAGTCAGTTTGGTAATGTCACTCCTCTCCTTAGAAATCTTTGGTGGTCAATCAAGTCAGGGTTAAATTCTCTTCTGTTTCCAGTTCTAAATCCAAGGCCTTCCCAAAGCTGGTGCCATAGAGAACTTCCAGAGGCAGTCTTAATTATTCAGTGTAAAGTGGCTTTCAAGTAAAAGGGGAAGAGGAAAAAACAAGCATTTATGAAGTGCCTACTATGTGCTAGATGCTGCACTAAATGGTTTGCAAATATCATCTCACATCTGGCTATATTGCCTTAATTTTACAGTAGAGGAAAGTAAGCAGGCAGAAACTAAGAGACTTGCCCAGGGTCACACAGCTAGTAAATGTCTGAGGCTGGATTTGAACTCAGGTCCTCAACTCTAGGCCAAGGGCTCTATCCACTATGCCTTCTAGATGCTTAAAATATTCTTTAATTTGATCTTCACAACAACTCTAGGAAGAAGGTGCTATTATTATCCCTCATCTTACAGATGAGGAAACTGAGGCAAACAGGTAAAGTGACTTGCCCAGGGTCATACAGGTAGTAAATATCTGATGTCTGATTTGAACTCAAATATTCTTGGTTACAGGCCCAGATCTCTTAAACACTCTACCACCTAGCTGCCTACTCAAATTCCAAGGACCTGGATTCAAATGCCACCCCTGACAAATGCTATCACCCGTATTTCATTGTCACATTACTTCCCTGGACCTCAGCTTTCTTGTCTATTAAAATGAGGGGGTTGAACTAGGGGCTTTCTATGTTCCCTTCCCACCCATAGGGGCCATCTCCACTTGTCCTGATACGTATCTGGCCACTGGAACCAGGTGGCTCCAGAGGAGAAAGTGAGGCTGGTGACTCTGAGCAGCCCCCCCCTCATTTAAATCTAATTCATGTGTAAGTCATGGCATCACCTTCTTGATGTCATGGTCCACTTTAAGAAAGAAGGACAAACAACAACCACCACCACCCCATGTCAATGATCCTATGATGCTATTTTAGGGGTGGAGTAAATAAGTGCATCCATCAGGCCATCCCCCTCCTCTTAAAGTAAGTGACAAGAGGCTCAATCAATCAGTCAATCAATTCCCCTGCATCATAGGCTTTAGACTGCATGTAAAAAAGTCCTTGGAACTGGAACTAGAATGACATTGCACAAGGATCTGGTTTGGACAGGCTGAGAAAGCTTAGCCATTCCCTGAGCTCATCCCTACATAACTGAGTAGAGGAGGGAGCCAGTGTTCTCCACACTTGGCCACCATGCCTCTGCTGCCTCTCAGCCTTGAGTTTCCCTTAGTGTTTGGAGTCTTCTCACCCTGGAACATTTCTCTGCCATACCAACCCCTTTATCCCATTGGTTCTCCTGAGGAACTCCATTTTGGGGAGAGGCCCAGGCAGGCCAGTCTTCATTCCCCTCCTGGATTTATTTCTCACTATCCAGATCTCACCACCATTTCCCATCAGGGTATCTTTCCTCTAACCCTCCTCAACTTCTCAGCCCCCTTTTGTGTGATGTCTGCCTCCATTCAAATTGAAGTTCCTTTAGGGCAGAGACTATCTGCATTACTTTGGTTTATATTCTCATTCCCAGAACTTCACATAGTGCCTGGCACATAGTAAGTACTTAATAACTGCCCATTGCCTCTCTGCCTTCCAGTAAAAATCCCTGAGGGATTTGTCTCCTCCTCAGGGAGGAGAGTAAGTAGAAGCCTTGGCTTCAACCTTGGCCTGGGTCTCATTTTTTCCTGTCCCTGGCTGGAGGAGGATACTTTGAGCTTCAAAGGGTCTGGAAGATATTGGACATCTTCCCATTGGTGTCCTGGCAGCATCCTTGAATTA